CCGCGACTGTCCATAAATTTAAAAGGGTGCCCCGCGACTGTCCATAAATTTAAAGGGTGCCTCGGGACTGTCCATAAATTTAAAGGGTGCCTCGGGACTGTCCATAAATTTAAAGGGTGCCCTGGGACTGTCCATCATTTTAAAGGGTGCCTCGGGACCGTCCATCATTTTAAAGGGTGCCTCGGGACCGTCCATCATTTTAAAGGGTGCCTCGGGACCGTCCATCATTTTAAAGGGTGCCTCGGGACCGTCCATCATTTTTTAAAGGGGCCTCGGGACCGTCCATCATTTTAAAGGGTGCCTAGACTGAAAAAAGGTTGAGAAACACTGGGATAGGGTATGATGATCTGCTTGCACACTTTCTCAGGGAGTAATCCTCCATTGCCCTCACTGTCAGCGGCTCCAAACCTCAGGATGGATGATAGTATTTTACAGGAAAAAAGGGCTCTAAATAGTGTGATACTGTAATTAAAAGCATCTTTATTGTATGAAAATTTACAAAGACTCAGCAGAACAGAGGCACCTCAACTCGTAATACAAGCGGGTGGAGGCTGTGTAATACATGGCACACATAAAGCTTAAAACCTCCATGGGCCTTTTGGCTGCTTTGCTACCTATTGCTTTTGGCAGCTCTGCTCCAACATAGCACCTGGCTCTGCCCTTACGTGTTTCGTCCCAAGGAGACTGATAAAGTAAATGCAGGTTTGCTTTACACAACGAGCATTAAACATGAACCTCTTGGCACCAACTGATTGTCTGTTGAATTTATGAAGAACAGCAGACGGAGCCAATGGAGCCTGCTGCTGCCTCAGCCAATGAGGAAAGCGAATCCCCGGAGAAATTAGGCTCTCATGCACATTGCAGTATCGCGATGGGGCTCAGGTAAGTATTGGGGGGGGGGGGGGGGGGGGGTTGGTGCACACAGGGATTTTTACCTTCACACATAGAATACATGAAGGTAAAAAAAAAAACCTTTAGCCTTTACAACCACTTTAAGCCGGCCAAACTTGGAGCAAAAGTAGGTTGGTTCAGCAGGGACCGGCAAAGCTTCGATCCATGTATGGGCACTTGTCTACCGATCGACTTGTGTACAACCAGTCAGGTTTTTCCCAATTAGAACCCCCCCCCTCTTTTTCACATCTGTATAAGAAAACGATTGCACCACACATACCGGAGTGAGAATAATAATTCTAGGGCCATAATTTACAGTTGACTTTAAACTGACAACCTGTAAAGACTTTAACCACTTCATGTCCGGACACTTTCCCCCCCCTTCCAGTCCGGACACTTTCCCCCCCCCCTTCCAGTCCGGACACTTCCCCCCCCCCCCCCCTTCCAGTCCGGACACTTTCCCCCCCCCCTCCAGTCCGGACACTTTCCCCCCCCCTTCCCAGTCTGGACACTTTCCCCCCCCCCCCTTCCAGTCTGGACACTTTCACCCCCCCTTCCAGTCTGGACACTTTCACCCCCCCCCTTCCAGTCTGGACACTTTCACCCCCCCCCTTCCAGTCTGGACACTTTCACCCCCCCCCCCCCCTTCCAGTCTGGACACTTTCACCCCCCTTCCAGTCTGGACACTTTCACCCCCCTTCCAGTCTGGACACTTTCACCCCCCTTCCAGTCTGGACACTTTCACCCCCCTTCCAGTCTGGACACTTTCACCCCCCTTCCTGCCCAGGCCAATTTTCAGCTTTCAGCGCTGTCACACTTTGAATGAGAATTGCGCGGTCATGCAACACTGTACCCATATGAATTTGTTCGCATTTTTTTGAGACAGATAAAGCTTTATTTTGGTGGTATTTATTCACCACTGGGATTTTTTTTTTTTTTTTGCTATGTAAATGAAAGTCCCAAAATTTTGAAAGTGTTTTTCTTATACAATTTTGCAAATAAATAATATTTCATTATAAATCTTGGCCAAAATTTATTCCGTTTTTTAGTAAAAAAAAAAAAAAAAAAATCCAAATTAGTTTATAACCAAAAAATCATAATTTTTAAACATTTTTTTTTTACATTTTTTAATAATTTTTTTTACACACTGTCACCCTAGCAGTACAGTGTCACCATGGTGATACTGTACTACTTGGGGGTGATGAAGATTTTTTTTTTTTTTTTTTTTTACACTGATTGCTTTTACACCCATAAAGGCTGTAAAAGCAATCATTTCTCCTCCTCTCTGGGTGCATTCTTGCAGCCATTGAGAAATACTGTGTGAGCTGTGATTGGTCACAGCGTGTCACATGGTACAAGGCTGTTGTGAATAGCCCTGTACCATGTGATCCCTGTGATCATTCACAGATTTCACACGTAGTAAGCAATGATGTCACAAGTGACATCTTGCTTACTACTCTGCATGTGATCCCTGATTGGCCAATCAGTGATCACATGATCGGGACCTCGCACAGAGGTCCTGTCCGACGATTGGTGTTCCACTGTGTCCGGAGGACACAGCAGGCACTGGACTTGCGGTGCTGAGCGCTGCCAGGGAGCGCTCACAGCTACAAAATGCGGGTGCCGTTTATGAACGACAACCCGCCCCTGGAGTGCCACCGTCCTGCCTGTTTATAAACAGCGGCCGGACGGCAGGTGGTTAAACCTGCCAAACATGGAGCAAAATTAGGTTGGATCAGCAGGGACCGGCCAAGCTTTGATCCATGTGTGGGCACCATAGTCTACCGATCGACTTGTGTACAACCAGTCAGATTTTTCCCAATTAGTTCCCCCCCCCCATTTTTACACATCTGTATAAGAAAACGATTGCGCCACACATACCTACGTATGCCAGAGTGAGAATAATAATTCTAGGGCCATAATTTACGGACAACCTGTAAAGACTTTAAAAGTATTGCTTATAGAGAACTTTTTTTTTTTTTTTTGAGCAAGTGCAATTTTTTAGAATAGACCTGTTTGCTATCGATTTACTCAGCGCTACTACAATAATCTTGCTGTCTCCGGATCCCTTGCCAAGCGGCTGCCCTGCTGTGGTCCTATCCTCGGGGTCGCTCTTTCGGCACTGGCGTCATTCGGAAAACACTTTGTACTTTTTTAAAATTAAAACAAGATGTTAACTGATTGGACAAGGTGGGGATTACGATGTTACTTCTTTACTTTTCCTCTCCATGAAATCGAGAGACCTTTTTGCATTGATTGTGTTTATGCAGCGGGGGGCCACTGCAATCGTTCTCCACTTCCACAGGGATCGGCCAGGATTGGAATATGCAAACTAAGGCTGGCCGTACATTATACAATTTTCTTGAGAATTTTGCTTTAGATTTGCCAAAAAGCTTATAATATGAGGTCAAATCTAAGCAACATTTTCAATTTTATCCAATTAGGCAGGCCCTTGCGCTACATAGTTGAAGGTCTATCTAAAGCAGTGGTTCTCAACCTTCCTAATGCCGCGACCCTTTAATACAGTTCCTCATGTTGTGGTGACCCCCAACCATAAAATTATTTACCCAGTAATTATAATTCATGAATGTCGTTTTACCTCCAATACTGCTGCTTTCAACACAGCAGCTGCTTTTACACAGAGTGCTTTCTACACCGCAGCTGCTGCTTTCTACACCGCAGCTGCTTTCTACACCGCAGCTGCTTTCTACACCGCAGCTGCTTTCTTTCTACACCGCAGCTGCTTTCTACACCGCAGCTGCTTTCTACACCGCAGCTGCTTTCTACACCGCAGCTGCTTTCTACACCGCAGCTGCTTTCTACACCGCAGCTGCTTTCTACAAACACCCGCAGCTGCTTTCTACACCGCAGCTGCTTTCTACACCGCAGCTGCTTTCTCTACACCGCAGCTGCTTTCTACACCGCAGCTGCTTTCTACACCGCAGCTGCTTTCTACACCGCAGCTGCTTTCTACACCGCAGCTGCTCTTTTACCCATCGGAAATATGTGTTTTCCGAAGGTCTTAGGTGACCCCTGTGAAAGGGTCGTTCAACCTCCAAAAGGGTCGCGACCCACAGGTTGAGAACCACTGATCTAAAGGAAATTGGACAGAAAATTGTATAGTGTACGGCCAGCCTAAAGGTGGGAATACACGATTAGAAAATTGACCGATCGGTTATCCTACGACCGAGAGGCTTTTGTTCGTTGGCTGAAATCGTGGCCCACATTAACCAATCTAAAAAATCGTTCGTCGGGCAATACGTGTGACGTCTTCCGTACAAGTGGAAGTGATGCGGTGTGCGTGTGACCTTGTAGCCACGCCCTTCCGGCCAGAACGAACGATTTACACAACGATTACCAGCAATGAGGATAATAGTTTTATTTTATTTATTTATTTCAGGTACTTGTATAGCACCATCAATGTACGTAGCGCTTTACATATATATTTTACATTCACATCAGTCCCCGCCCCCGAGGAGCGTACAATCTAAGGTCCCCAACTCACATTCATACATACACATACTAGGGACAATTTGGACAGGAGCCAATTCACCTACCAGCATGTCTTTGGAGGGTGGGAGGAAACCGGAGTACCCAGAGGAAACCCACGCAGGCACAGGGAGAACATGCAAACTAAATGACCTATATATATATAAATAGTGATACATAAAATATAATCTGCAGAATTCTGGTTTCATGATCTCATTCGGCCGATCTACTTTTAACATTTGGATTTTTCATTCCTGTTTACGAAGATTCCTTGGACATAAACATCCGGGTCATCTTCTGTTTCCGTTCATGCGTGATGGCGCTTGATAGATTTTTTCGTATTACCACCGCATAGAAAATCGATCGTTCGTATGCAAAACGACATTTTTCACTGTTGTTCAACCGGATTTTTTTCGTTCACAATATCGTTATCGATTAAAACATCCTGCTCATCAACGAAGAGAAAATCGTTCGATCAGCGGCTACGCAAAACTTTTCAGATGATTTTCTTATCGTGTACGGGGCATTAGGCTGGTCATACACTATACAGTTTTCATACAATTTTCGGTCCAATTTCCTTTAGATTTACCTTCCACTATGTAGTGCAAGGGCCCGCCTGACTGGATACAATTGAATGTTGTTTTTTATTTTTATTCTTATTATTATACAGGATTTATATGGCTCCAACAGTTTGCGCAGTGCTTTTCAAAATGAAGGCAGACATTACAATCACACTACAATTTGGTGCAAGAGGAAACAGAGGGCCCTGATCCTGGGAGCTTACAATCTACCAGGAAGGGTTGAGTGATACAAAAGGTAATAGCTGTGGGGGGAGGAGCTGATGGAGGAAATAAATGGCAGTTTACTAGGTAGAAGCAGGATAGACTTCTTTAAAGAGAGAGGTTTTCAGGGTTCGTCTAAAGGTGGATAATTAGGAGACAGCTGGACAGATTGGGGTAGGGAGTTCCATAGGATGGGAGAATCTTGGGAGAAGTCCTGGAGGCGAGCATGGGAGGAGCTGACATGGGAACTAGAGAGCAGAAGGCCTTGGGAGGAACGAAGAGAGTGGTTTGGTTGATATTTTGAGACCAGGTTGGTGATGTAGCTGAGGGAAGTGTTGTGGATGGCTTTGTAAGTTGTTAGTATTTTGAATTTTATTCGTTGAGCGAGTGGAAGCCAGTGGAGGGATTGGCAGAGAGGGGGGTGGAGGACACTGAGTGGAGGGATTGGCAGAGAGGGGTGGAGGACACTGAGTGGAGGGATTGGCAGAGAGGGTTGGAGGACACTGAGTGGAGGGATTGGCAGAGAGGGTTGGAGGACACTGAGTGGAGGGATTGGCAGAGAGGGGTGGAGGACACTGAATGGAGGGATTGGCAGAGAGGGGTGGAGGACACTGAATGGAGGGATTGGCAGAGAGGGGTGGAGGACACTGAATTGAGGGCAGTGGAGGGATTGGCAGAGAGAGGTGGAGGACACTGAATGGGGGCCAGTGGAGGGATTGGCAGAGAGGGGTGGAGGACACTGAATGGAGGCCAGTGGAGGGATTGGCAGAGAGGGGTGGAGGACACTGAATGGAGGCCAGTGGAGGGATTGGCAGAGAGGGGTGGAGGACACTGAATGGAGGCCAGTGGAGGGATTGGCAGAGAGGGGTGGAGGACACTGAATGGAGACCAGTGGAGGGATTGGCAGAGAGGGGTGGAGGACACTGAATGGAGACCAGTGGAGGGATTGGCAGAGAGGGGTGGAGGACACTGAATGGAGACCAGTGGAGGGATTGGCAGAGAGGGGTGGAGGACACTGAATGGAGGCCAGTGGAGGGATTGGCAGAGAGGGGGTGGAGGACACTGAACGGTTGGTAAGGTAGATGAGCCTGGCAGCAGTATTCATGATAGACTGGAGGGGGGAGTGGCCTATGTAAAGGTAAGCCAATGAGGAGGGAGTTGCAGTAGTCGAGGCGGGATATAACCAGGGAGTGAATTAGGAGCTTTGTGGTCTCATTGGTTAAAAAGTTTAGGTTTGACCTCATAATATATGATTTGTGGTAAATCTAAAGAATTTTTTCAGGACAATTGTATAGTGTATGGCAGCCTTACAATGATCCAGTCCTCACCAATGTAAAACCATCCATACCCAGAATTCCATGCTCAGGCATGTATGCACCCTAACCCATCATAACCCTGTGAATCCGGCCTTAAAGGGCTGTTCCTTTCTTTGGAGTAAAGGAGACCCTCAAAGCCTCATAAGGTCGATCCCAAACGGCTTTTTCTGAGAATTTTCCGAACTCTCCAGCAAATGATGTGAAGACTTTTTTCACTTTTAGAATACAAATGTCTGACTGCTAGAGGATATAAATGTTGTTCGGGTTGATTAAGCATTCTTTCAATTGTTGGTAGCCTCTGCAGGTTGCTAGAAGACATTTGGCAGCCCTCCTGCAGCACCGCGCTGCCTTGTTTTTTTTTTTTTTACATGCACATCGTGTTCCCGAGTGTGTCGCTGGTGGTACTCGGCCTCGGTGTAGGCGGTAGTCTGCAAAGGCCAGGATTTCTGTGCGGTACCAGATTATAGAAGCATACTGCCCCCCCCGCAATGGTGGTTTCCAGTCACAGATCCTGGGAGAGATGGGGGTTTATTAATTCTGTATAATCAGAGTTCCTGCATCTATAGGCGTCTGCGGTTTATTCTGGGGGAGGGGATGGACGCAGGTGAGGCGACCAGTGTTCTGATCGCGGTATAGAACTGACATGGGAACGTCCATTCCGTGTCTCGCAGTATTTGTTTCCAGATTACATACAGCATCCTAAAGATGAAAAATGAAATTTCGGTTACCGGACATTGTCACAGTACAGGCTGACCATTTTCTGGGGCAACTCTTTGCATGAGATAGGTTGTCACCAGTGGGGTCTACACCAATCAGCCATAACATTATGACCACCCACCTAACATTATTATTATACAGGATTTATGGCGCCAACAGTTTGCTCAGCACTTTACAATATAACAGGAGACAATACAGCAACAATACAAGAGGGTTAGGGGGCTCTGATCCTGGGAGCTTACAATCTAGGAGACATTGAGTAGGTCCCGCTTTTGCTGCTCAAACAACCCTGATTCTTCAAGGCATGGACTCCACTAGACAAAGCCACCACCACACTGCTCCGCCAGCTTGCCTTCACATACTGCATCCTGGTGGCATCTCTTCCCCAGGCAAGTGACGCGTACACCCACCCGACCTGCCACATGACCTAAAAGGGAGCATGATTCATCAGACCGGACCACCTTCTATGCTTCGTGGTCAAGTTCTGATGTTCATGTGCCCATTGTAGGCACTTTTGGCTGTGGACACGGGTCAGCATGGGCACCCTGACCGGTCTGCAGCTACATAACAAACTGCCATGCTCTGTGTTCTGACACCTTTCTATCAGAACCAGCATTCAGCCCTTTTCCCCCTCCCCCGCCTGCCGTCGGCGAGCCCTTTTCCCCTCCCCCCCTGCCGTCGGCGAGCCCTTTTCCCCTCCCCCGCCTGCCGTCGGCGAGCCCTTTTCCCCTCCCCCCGCCTGCCGTCGGCGAGCCCTTTTCCCCTCCCCCCGCCTGCCGTCGGCGAGCCCTTTTCCCCTCCCCCCCCGCCTGCCGTCGGCGAGCCCTTTTCCCCTCCCCCCGCCTGCCGTCGGCGAGCCCTTTTCCCCTCCCCCCGCCCCCGCCTGCCGTCGGCGAGCCCTTTTCCCCTCCCCCGCCTGCCGTCGGCGAGCCCTTTTCCCCTCCCCCCGCCTGCCGTCGGCGAGCCCTTTTCCCCTCCCCCCGCCTGCCGTCGGCGAGCCCTTTTCCCCTCCCCCCGCCTGCCGTCGGCGAGCCCTTTTCCCCTTCCCCCTTCCCCCCGCCTGCCGTCGGCGAGCCCTTTTCCCCTCCCCCCGCCTGCCGTCGGCGAGCCCTTTTCCCCTCCCCCCGCCTGCCGTCGGCGAGCCCTTTTCCCCTCCCCCCGCCTGCCGTCGGCGAGCCCTTTTTCCCCTCCCCCGCCTGCCGTCGGCGAGCCCTTTTCCCCTCCCCCGCCTGCCGTCGGCGAGCCCTCTTCCCCTCCCCCGCCTGCCGTCGGCGAGCCCTCTTTCCCCTCCCCCGCCGCCCCGTCGGCGAGCCCTCTTTCCCCTCCCCCGCCTGCCGCCGGCGAGCCCTCTTCCCCTCCGCCGCCGGCGAGCCCTTTTTCCCCTCCCCCGCCTGCCGTCGGCACTTTTGGCTGTGGACACGGGTCAGCATGGGCACCCTGATCGGTCTGCAGCTACATACACAACGAACTGCCATGCTCTGTGTTCTGACACCTTTCTATCAGAACCAGCATTCACTTTTTCAGCAATCTGAGCTCCAGTAGCTCTTCTATTGGTTCGGACTATATAGGCCAGCCTTTGCTCCCCACCTCAATGAGCCTTGGCCACCCATGACCCTGTCGCCATTTTTTTCTCCTGTACTTCTCTTGGACCACTTTTTGATCGGTCCTGACCACTGCAAACTGGGAACTTCCCACGAGCTGCAGTTTTGCTATAGCTCTGATCCAGTCGTGTAGCCATTTCAATTTGGCTCTTGTCAAAGGCACTCAAATCCTTTTGCATACTTCAACACGTCAACTTCAGGGAGAGAAAAATCCTTTAAGCCTCATGTTACTACAAGACCTGTGCATGGAGAATGAAACCGTTTCTGCCGGGGCTCCATCCAGGCATCCCAATGCTAAACCAGATAATCCATGTTCACTGTCAGTGGTCGTAATGTTATGGCTGAGAACTGTTGGTGGGGCTTCAGGGGAATGATCCCTATGAAGCTCTGGCTGTGCCCTGATGTCTTACCACCCACTAAGCTGTAATGAAATCTCGCCAATTGCTGAAATTTCAGGACCGCGTGCAGTGATTTAGTTTTTAAATCGTTTTGTGGTGCAAAAGGTAATTTTTTTGTTTTTTTTTGGGGGGGGGAATGTCTAAAATAAAACCGTGTGACACCGAATTAAAAAAAAATTAACTTTTTTTCTTTTTATTTTCAAGCAAATGGTTATGAGCCTTCGTGTATCTGAGCTGCAAAGTACTTCTAGGATACGCCGGACGCAACAAACACGGTCGCAAACACGAACTCCTGACCAAGAGCTCTGCACTTGTTAAAGGCCGGCTGCAGTCCTGCTGTACAAATGAAAATCAAGGAATTGTATCGGCGGAGGTTTCCCTTAAAAATCCTCACACAACCGGCGGACTTTTTCACTACCTAGCGTGCACTCCAGCACCATGCCAACCAACTTGTCACCATCCTCCATTCCTCAGCTTTCCTACGACATGCCACCCCGCCTCTTCCCCACTGCTACCAGTCTCCCTTCTTGGGCCCAAACATGAACTGGACCTCCCTCACCTCACAGCAAACCTTCACCCTGTCCACTCCGGACATCAAACTGCAGAAACTGCCCTTCTATGACCTGCTGGACGAACTTTATAAAGCCTACGAGTTTAGGTAAGGGCTGTTCACCGGAAGCTGTATGTTGGCTGCTGTCCTGGCATTGATCTGTGTTGCATGACCACCTATGTTACTGCTTCGTGCATTGGATGTGTCCATAGGAAAGGAGTGATGGTTGGTATGTGTTCAGGTGGTTCCTAAGATG